CGTCCCCCAAGCCAATTGATTTTGCACACAGTTGTTAATGGTGAACAATGCAATGGTATTGGGCCACCTAATCTCTGCGTTGGGCAACCTTCTGGGAAACTAGTGTGGCGAGGCCTGCGTTCCTCCCAACCATGGCAGGTGCTCCGGCCGTCGTTATCCCGACCATTTTCTCCCAGCTCATCCTGTTCATATCCAGCACTCGCTCAGCTGCTGCAAACAAATCCTCACTTTTTGTTGTGTTGCAGTGTCTCAAGTCCGGCCAGCTTGTAACGTCCATGTTTTCACTCAATCCCCGAATGAAAACCAAAAGTTGTGCAGAGTCTGAAATGTCTGTTCTCTCACCACACGCCAAAGAAAAGACAACAACTTCATGAGCTTTAGCTTTAAATTGCTCCTTAATGAAACATATCCACAGTGCGATGTGTCACAGTGTTTTGCGAGAGGCTGATTTGAGAGAAAGCTTTAACTTGAGACGGGCACATTAACGCCGCGGCTGTGGACAGACACTCCTTAAAGTACACTGTTGAAAATTATCTCCCAGTCCAGGTAATTATTGCAGAAATCTCAAAGCTGGCCTGTGTTGCGCTGTCCTGAGCTGCTGAGGGCAGTGTAAGTGTATTGTTGAAAATGTTGTGTAGCTAGCCGGTCCATGGTCTTGTTCTATCGGGCATCATGTTTGTATTGTGGAAAAGCTGGATGCTTCTGTTGAGGGAATGTGCATTTTTGCACTCACCATGCTCCATAGTTTGACTTGATCAATGTATTTATGCGCTGCTCTTTTACTGTTATTATGAATGAAATTAAAATATTCCATGATCCTTATTGTACGTAATAAATAGACTTGACATGATCAGCCAGTAAAGAGATCATTTTTATTCCCCTCAAGGTTTGATTGATATGATACAGTGACATGTTTTCAGAGAATCCTTGAGTCTCCGTCTCCCACAGCCAACTCCCTGGCACGTCTCTGTGTGCAGCTGGGACTTCTGATAACAGTTTGACAGAGTGGAGGGGGGAGGGGGGAGGAAACTGGCATCCGAGTGATTCTACAAAACTTTTTCAGTTGGGGAAGTCAGAACGGGTCAGAACCTCAGACGGGTGAAGGCATTGATAAGTGTGTACTTGTAAATGCATTGATCTTCTGTGATTGTTGGCTGTTCTCTAAATATTTGTAATAAATCTGATGAAGTCTACACCTGGTTGTTTTGGGAATCTCTTTTTTTCCACGACAGCTTCGTCTTGTAGTGATGACAGACAGTGTTCTCCTTTAAAACAGCAATGGACTGGCTTTAGCATTGAGATATATATATATATATATATATATATGTATATATATATAAATTTAAAAAAAATATACAAACCGGATTCCAAAAAAGTTGGGACACTAAACAAATTGTGAATAAAAACTGAATGCAATGATGTGGAGGTGCCAACATCTAATATTTTATTCAGAATAGAACACAAATCACAGATCAAAAGTTTAAACTGAGACAATGTATCATTTTAAGGGAAAAATCTGTTTCCAAATTTCATGGTGTCAACAAATCCCAAAAAAGTTGGGACAAGTCCATTTTTACCACTGTGTGGCATCCCCCCTTCTTCTTACAACACTCAACAGACGTCTGGGGACAGAGGAGACCAGTTTCTCAAGTTTAGAAATAGGAATGCTCTCCCATTCATGTCTAATACAGGCCTCTAACTGTTCAATCGTCTTGGGCCTTCTTTGTCGCACCTTCCTCTTTATGATGCGCCAAATGTTCTCTATAGGTGACAGATCTGGACTGCAGGCTGGTCATTTCAGTACCCGGATCCTTCTCCTACGTAGCCATGATGCTGTGATTGCTGCAGAATGTGGTCTGGCATTATTGTGTTGAAAAATGCAGGGTCTTCCCTGAAAGAGATGACGTCTAGATGGGGGCATATGTTCTTCTAGAACCTGAACATAGTTCTCTGCATTAATGGTGCCTTTCCAGACATGCAAGCTGCCCATGCCACAAGCGCTCATGCAACCCCATACCATCAGTGATACAGGATTCTGAAAGGAGCGTTGATAACAACTTGGGCTATCCTTGTCCTCTCTGGTCCGGATGACATGGCGTCCCAGTGTTCCATAAAGAACTTCAAATCATGACTCATCTGACCACAGAACAGTCTTTCATTTTGCCACACTCCATTTTAAATGACCCCTGGCCCAGTGCAAACGTCTGAGCTTGTGGAGCTTGCTTAGAAATGGCTTCCTCTTTGCACTGTAGAGTTTCAGCTGGCAACGGCGGATGGCACGGTGGATTGTGTTCACTGACAATGCTTTCTGGAAGTATTCCTGAGCCCATTCTGTTATTTCCTTGACAGTGGCATTCCTGTTTGAGGTGCAGTGACGTTTAAGGGCCCGGAGATCACGAGCATCCAGTAGAGTTTTACGGCCTTGACCCTTACGCACAGCGATTGTTCCAGATTATCTGAATCTTTTGATCATGTTATGCACGATTGATGATGATAACTTAAAAGTCTTTGCTATTTTACGCTGGGTAACACCATTCTGGTATTGCTGCACTATCTTTCTGCGCAACAATGGTGGGATTGGTGATCCTCTTACCATCTTGGCTTCTGAGAGACACTGACACTCTGAGAAGCTCTTTTTATACCCAATCATGTTGTCAATTGACCTAATTAGTGTTAATTGGTCTTCCAGCTGTTCGTTGTATGCTCAATTTCCTTTTTCCAGCCACTTATTGCTACTTGTCCCAACTTTTTTGGAATTTGTTGACACTGTGAAATTTTGAATCAACATATTTTTCCTTTAAAATGTTACATTTACACAGATTAAACTTTTGATCTGTCATCTATGTTATATTACAAATAAAATATTGACATTTGCCATCTCCACATCATTGCATTCAGTTTTTATTCACAATTTGTTTAGTGTCCCAACTTTTTTGGAATCTGGTTTGTATATAGTTTTTTCAAATTTGTTAAATTTATATAAAAAAATTAATAAAAATAAAAAAATCTTCCTCCCAAGGTTTTTTTAAAATGCCTTTTGTCTGTGTGCCACTGATGATGTCGCTCCACCATGTTGGTGGTGTTGTCAGCCAGTGCAGTAGCCCGCAAACTTTTATTATTTTTTGTGACTCAGTCTGCTCCTGCAGCAAAGGCTCATGGGACATTTCATAAATTTGTAAAATATAAGTATTTGTGGTCTTATAAAGTGTGCAAATCTACATGTGTGCTTACCGGGTAAATCTAATCTTAAAGTCTCTTGTAGTTGGAACTTTGGAACAATCTGCCCATCAACATTCGACAGGCCACCTCAGTCTCTGCTTTTAAATCTCTCCTAAAAACACATCTATACTCACTGACATTTAACACAGGGTGATCGGATTTAGATATAGTTTTTTTTATGCTGATTCTGTTTATGCTTTTGTTATTATTCCTATTTAACACAAGGTCATCAGATCTGATTTAGTATTTCATTGTTTATGACTGAGTTTATGCTTTTTGTTATTATTTCCTTGACTTTTGACACAACGTGATCTGATTTAGTATTTCATTGTTTCTAATTATGTTTTCGGTTTTATATTTTTACTCCATGTGCTGTAAATATATCTTGCTACTTTTTATTTGATGTTGTGATATTTTTGTGAAGCACTTTGGTAACAGTTTCTGTTTCAAATGTGCTCTATAAATAAATCTGACTTGACTAGTTACTTGTATTTCATCCATCCATTATCTTTACCCGCTTATTCCATTTTGGGTCACGGGGGTCGCTGGTGCCCATGTCCAGCAATCACTGTGCGAGGGGCGGGGTACACCCTGGACGGGTCGCAAGTCCATCACAGGGACACATAGAGACAAATGAGACAAACAACCATTCACTCTCTCACTCACACCTAGGGACAATTTAGAGTTACCAATCAGCCTAACATGCATGTTTTTGGACTGTGGGAGGAAACCGGAGCACCCGGAGAAAATCCACGCATGCACGGAGAGAACATGCAAACTCCACCCAGAAAGGCCCCTGGACCGGGGTTTGAACCAGGGACCTGCTCGCTGAGAGGCAGCAGCTCTACCAGTTGCGCCACCGTGCTGCCACGTGTATTTCATATATATTCTTAATATATTGATATTTCAAAGATAATATAATCACCTTGAGGGAATATTTTTTGATCTAAGCCCCATATATAGTCATTGGGCCAGTTTAATTTTCTAAATTAAAGTCAATGGGTGGAATGACTGTGAGTGAAAGTACAATGTTTCTACATAGAAAGGATGAAGATTTAATACAGTAGCCCAGGCAACTCTATCAAACCTGTTTGATTTGGACAAATCTAAACTTACTGAGCAACTTTAATCAATCCTTTCAAAAATGAAGTAACCAACATGTCATCCTCTAATGCAAGCCATATACCAAACACTTTTTAACAGTAAATGTCTTGACAGAGCATTTACAAATAAAACATTTTAAACATTCCTCCCACAGCCACCACAAAGGATGAAACAAACTGGACTTGGTTCTAGTCAGTTTAGATAAAAGAATGTGAAGGACATCAAATATAAAATAAAATGTCACAGAGATTGTTACAGAAAATCATTCATGCCATTTGCATTTTTACTCAGATGAACACCTCTAAATCAATATGTGCACACAGATATTGTAAATATGTCAGTTACGTGTACCTGTGTATCTTAGCATTACCTCTGTCTCAATATGAACTACAATGTGATAGTTTGTGACTGTTTTTCAATTTTTGCTATCAAGTTGGTAAAATGTCCTTAATTTTCATCTTGTATGATGGAGAGACAAACTATCTTCCTACTATTCTATTCTGTTTTTATTAAAGTGGTAATACCTCAAAAGGCTGCAAGAGCTAAATAAAATAATTAGAAGCAGGAAGCGAGCACATTGCAAAGTCCGAATCAACTAACTGAATAAAGTGAAAGAGAAGAAAGCATTTAAAGAATTCTCGTGTGAACCGAAGTGCGCACACCGTGAGGAGACCTACCATCGAGGGAGAGCCAGTCGTGCTGCGAGGATGGCAGTGATGGAAGAGCGCGGGCCTTGTACTCAAACACCACAGAACTGGATATAATCTGGTTACTGATGGCCACCTGCAGCGTCACCAGACCTGTATCATGAGCTGGATGGAGAGGAGATCATGAGACGTCATCTAGGAAAATGTCACTATGACAAAGACAGATTACTGCTCATCTGCTGTGTTAAAGCATACGCTCAACCTTTCATACATTTTGTTGGTTAGAAGCAACATATCAACAAAGTTGGGCTCATGTTATTTAGAAATTTATGTTACGCAATGAGCTGCTTAGCACATTAGAACTATAAAACATGACAAACACCAGAAGATACTTTAAATAATCACGAATGAAAACAAAAAGGCCTTTCCACTTTTACAAATAAATAAATGTATACAATTCAGATCTTTTTTTTTTTCATTAAAAGTGACAGAAACAGAGCAGAGATAAATCCCCAAAGTTAAAAAAAGTAGGACCTTTAATGGTTGAAATACTCTGTTTCAGTGAAACGTCCTCTTGCATTTAGCAAAGCTTTCCTCCGTCTTACCTGGGCAGTAGCAGCGCAGCACCCCTGGCTGGATGAGAGACGCCGGGACTGAGATCTGGTCAAACAAGCAGCTGTAGTTTGAGCTGGCCTCCTGCCAGGGACCAGTGATCAGCACCTTTACACCACCCTGAAAACAACATGTCCCATTAACAACAACAACACTAATAATAATAATAACAATAATTTTGCCTAACTATTCCCAACAACAACCACAGACGGAGAACAAATAAACACTATGTAAGGGTAATGACTTCATTATTTGTATCTCTGCTGCCATCATGTGGACATTCGTTGTTACTTCAGCTCATTCAATTTATTTAAAAGTTTCATCACCTTCAGGTCCTGTGCTGCCCTCTAGTGGCTGAACCGGGTAACATTTTTCTTACAAACAGTGACGCACAATAAATAAATAAATTCAAGTAATAGTGAAAATAAATTAGGTGGTACTATTTTTAGGATTTTATTAAAATAGTGCATTAGATAAAAGCAAAATCACAATTTATTTAAAGCCTCAACATTTTCATTATGTGTGAGTCTGAAGACTGAAGAAGTCTTTCGGATGAAAGACGGAACGTTTCTACAATTTATTTTTTTGTTTTGTTATGTTTTTTTTGAATGCCCAGAGGACCAGACTTAACTTTTTTAGATTTTTTTTTCTACCTGGATTATTGAGTATGCATCAGTATAGTTTAATTTATGTTTTTCTTTATGTTATAGCTGTCATAGTATTAACAAATGAGAAATGTGTTGTTCAATTTAGCCTCGCAGTGTTTTATGTTGCTGGGTTGTACTGACTCCAAAAAACATATTTTTAGGCTACATACTTTTATTATTAATGTTTGGCATTTTAGACCAATATCAAACATGATCATTTAAATTTAAAATTGATTTATGGTAGCCTAAAAGTTCCCAATTAAAAAAACAAAACATATATTTTTAAACTCAACCCACAACTTATTTGATCTTGAACATTAGATCCAGATTGTGTGTTGTCTCCATCCTCATTAAAGAAGCCAACAGTGCCAGTTCTGTTCATTTTATTACAGAACAAAAATAGTTTTCATTTACTTTTATGCAACTCAAATTGTCATATTCTAACAACAAAATTTATGTGTATATGTACATTTTTAGGTTGTTTTTTTGAGATCAGGGATTTATATTTTTTATATGAGTGATGCAATCGCACGATAGATTATAGATCTTGCCAAAGCATGTTTTGGGGTTCATTGGTAAAAATGCATGGGTGTGTATATAAAGGAGTGCCAAATGAATCGCATGACAAACTGATCCAATCAGGTGGTCCGAAACACTCCATCTTTGGATGTGCTTCAAACATCTGTGATCTCATGAGCAAACCACACCTGAGCTATGGTTTGACATGTTTGCTTTAAGAGCTAACGCACATGTGCTGCTCTCTCCTTTAGCACAAGCAACAAGAACTCAAGCTGATAACAGCTAGAGAAGGACTTGGAGCAGAAAGTATTTCCTAATCTGAGTTATAAAGGATTTACCCATGTTTAGTGTTTGTTGTAGACAGAGATGAAAAACAAACAAACATGCAAGCAAAGCACTGCAGCGTCTTCTCACTCACCTCAGGATAGGACCACTCGGGGGAGTAGTCAGTGACCATGAAGAGGCGGCCTGTGGCCTGCAGCATTCCCAAAGCCCCCTGGGCAACAGCTGCAGAAACCACCTCTGCAACATTCATGTAGGACAGTGAACCAGCTTCTCCAGTGTTGCCTCCTGCACTGGCACCCCCACTCAGAGACTGGGGGCTGCAGCAAGGTTGAAGGCAGAGCTCAGACGGGTTGTAGCCAGAGGCCCTGGCTCCTCCGTCCTCCTGGGCCTGCTGAGGGGCCCCGCTGGCTGTGTTCTGGTTTTCAGAGCTGTGTGACGTGACCAGCTGGTGAGCATACAGAGCCCCCCCAGCAGACATGGCGGTCCCACTGCCATCCACTGAGATGAAGTCATTAATGAGGTCAGAGAACTGGTTGCCAAAAGATATGTCAAAGTGGTCTAAATTGATCTCCATGCCTGTTCCCCCTGCTCCTCCATTACCAGCTGCTCCACCTAGACCTTGGTGGGTTCCTACCGTGTTGTAGAGTCCTTGCACCATACTTGTGCCTTGCAGGAGGGGCTGTAGCTGCTGCTGCTGCTGCTGCTGGGTGCGGTTGCTGCCATCATTGTTGTTGTTTCCATTGTGAATTGTTACTCCTTCACCCACACCTCTTGCACCTCCACCACCATCTGTGGCCTGTTGCAGGTAATGCTCTGCTCCATCTCCATTTCCTCCTCCACATGCCTGAATGTGGTCTCCTGGCTTGAGCAGATTCCCAGCTCCATTCTCCACGGCTCCAGTCTGAGCTGAACTCACACCCCCGCCTTGCTCTAGACCGACCACCTCCTCATGCTCGGTGCCCATCCCAGGAAAAGTCCCCTGGTACTGAAGCAGTTGGAGGGAAGCAGTCTGGCCAGGCCCATCTGTGGGTGAACCTCCATTACAGTTGGCCCTGTGCTGTGTCTGATGGTGGTGATGAAGGTGGCCGTTGCTTCCGGGAGAGTCCGTTTTCACCACCTGTAGCCCCATATATGCTCCAGAGTCATGGGAGTTATGCTCCATCAGATGTGTTTTCTGGATCAAGCTTGACCTCCCCTGCTGAGTCTGGCTGGTTTGAGAAGTATCCTGGAGGAAAAAGCTTGGAGAGTGGTTCTGATGTTGCATATGAGGGCTAGACATGGCTTGACTGTAACTCACTGCGGCAGCGTTAGAAGTATATTCTTGCTTTGCATCAATGGCACTAAAATCCATCTGCTCCAAAGTAGTGCTGGGACTCAGACCCCCACCAGAAGGAAGCAGGGATCCTGCTGCCGTCAGACCAAGATTACCCTGATTTGAGCCGGCGCCAGATGATGCCCCGCCGCCACAGTTCACTACTCCCCCAACCTGGTAGCCGCTCTCTTTGGCCAGCTGCTGCTCAAATGACGTGTCCTCCGTCTTGATGTTCTTTACGAGGGCTGAGCTGAAGGTGTAGCCGTTGTCTGACATGGGGGAGCGCTGCAAGCTGCCGTTGTTAATGTTGCTGCCACCAGAGGAAGATGCTGAGGGGGAGTTCTCCGTTTTCAGCGCGCTGCCACCATAGGTTTGGCCCTGTTTGGGATTGTTTAGGAAGCAGTCAGGGTCAAAGTTCATATTAGTTTCTGGGATCTTCATGGCTCCAGTGTCCAGAGTGCTCGTTAGCACCAGCTCCTCAGACACCCCGGCTGCAGACAACATAGACAGGCTGTCTCCTGCTGTGGTAGTTCCAGGCTCTCCCACTCCGCCTCCAGGGAAGGCGAATTTGTGCCGATCGGCAGCCACAGACAGCACCAAGGCCTGTGAGGCGGCGTCAGCACCGATTAGGTGAGTGTTGGGACCCCCGGTAGGAGACATACTGTAGACGGGGTCTCCAGCGACCTCAGACATGAAGACACTCTGGGACAGACTGGACATGACAGAGGGCACGTGGCTCATCCCTGTCACCACCGGGCTGTCAGCCATATCCGGATCGCTGTTGAGGCCACTGCTGATGGAAACGGGGGAGTTCTGTGTGGTGTCTGGGACCTCCACCTGGTTGGTGGACGACACCTCCGTGCTGTTCTGGTGCAGCAGGACAGGCTTGTGGACTTTGCCGTTGCGTTTCTCCCTGGCACTGCTCCCTCCACCACCACCCCCAGAGCTTTTGCCTCCACCATGGGCACTGTGCTCTGTCTTTCCCTCAGATACATCGTTGTTTTGCACCTCAGAGTGTGCATTGCTGTAGCCCCCAGTGCGGGGGTCCACTTTCGGGGAGATGATGCGATGTTTGGAGCTGTTGCATTTGTGGTGGACACTGCTCCCCGCACCTAAAGGAGAAAGAGAAGAACAACAAGGTTGAAGATTTGTTTAGAGGAACTAAATGAGGCAAATTAACAATTTATATGTTCAGGTACATGAAAACTACTTGACAAAACTATTTAATAAGCAATGCAAAGATGGAAGGTTTAGAACTTACAAATGAATGAAAATAATATTTTTCCCCAATGTAAAAACAAAAACAAACTTTCTCATAAGTGCACAGTGCATGAAATTTAGGAGAAATCTTGCATGGCTGCTATTGTGACAAAAAAAAATAGCTGGCATTGTTCAGAGAAGGATTAAATACCAGTATATAGTATTTATATTCTTTATATTGAGAATTCATGCTACAAATTATATTACAGGTGATGGGACATTAGAGTAAACACAAATTTGCAATCACTTTTAAAAGAACAGATGGTCATATTTGAAACTAAAAAATGAAACTATTAACCAAACAAAATGTGGACATTCTGAAAGTCTTCTGTTGTCAGGATGCTGCTTATTTATGTCAGATACATGTAGCTAAAAACAAATCAACTCACACCGTGAGATGTTTTAGTATTTAGTAATTGGTATTATTTGAGAACAGTAAAGTATATTTATTCTGCACTCAAGATATGATTCAGTTAATCCGGAGTTCTTGTTGATGCTAGCTGTATGTGATGCCCTCAGTTCAGCTGTTTCTAGAGAGTGCCACAAACAAGAACTAAATGCATTTACTGTGATCATTAGATGTCATGGATTTCAGTGAAAAATTTCAATGGATTGTTAAACAACATGTCTAGTTGTTTATTGTACTGCAAAAAAGTTAGGGCAACTGTTAAAAAGCTGAATGCTAAAAATGTTGTCATAAATACATTTAAGTTTTCTTTTTTTATTTCTTGATTAACAAAGGAAAGTTAATGAGTTGAGCTGAGTCGGGGGGACTTCAGGGTTAGTCTGTCCATAACTGTGGCTGAGGTCACTGAGGTAGGTAAAAAGCTCTGCAGCAGCAGGGCTCTGGGGGTGGATGAGATTCTCCCTGATTTCCTTAAGGCTCTGGATGTTGTGGGGCTGTCTTGGTTGACACACCTTTGCAACATCGCATTGGCATCAGGGGCAATGCCACTGGATTGGCAGACTGGGGTGATGGTTCCCCTCTTCAAAAAGGGGGACCAGAGGGTGCGCTCAAATTACAGGGGCTTCACTCTACTAGTCCCCCTGGTAAGATCTACTCAGTGGTAATGGAGAAGTGAGTCCGATCGTTGGTCAAACCTCAGATCCAAGAGGAACAATGTGTGTTCTGTCCTGGCTGTGGAGCACTGGACCGGCTCTTTACCCTCACTATGGTCCTCGACGGGTCATGGGAGTTTGCCCATCCAGTCTACATGTGTTTTGTGGACTTGGAGAAAGCGTTTGACCGTGTTCCTTGAAGTACACTGTGGGGGGTGCTCCGTGAGTATGGGATTGGAGGTCCATTGTTACGAGCTGTTCAGTCTTTATACAAGCGGTGCGAGAGTTTGGTTCACATTGCTGGTAGTAAGTTGAACCCCTTCAGGGTGGGAGTTGGATTCTGCCAGAGCTGCCTGTTGTCACCAATTCTGTTCATAACTTTTATGAACAGAATCTCTCGGTGCAGCCAGGGAGTGGAGGGATTCTGGTTCGGTGGCCTCAGGAGTCCATCTCTGCACTTTGCAGATAATGTGACCCTGTTGGCGTCATTGTGCTGTGATCTTCAGCTCTCACTGGAGCGGTTTGCAGCTGAGTGTGAAGTAGCTAGGGTGAGAATCAGCACCTCCAAATCTGAGGCCATGGTCCTCAACTGGAACAGGGTGGATTGCTCTATTCAGGTCGAGGGTGAGGTTCTGCCTCAAATGGAGGAGTTCAAGTATCTCTGGGTTTTATTCTCTAGTGAGGGAAGAATGGAGCGTGAGATTGACAAACGGATTGGTGCAGCGTCTGCAGTACTGTGGACTCTGTGTCGGTCCATTGTGGTGAAGAAGGAGCCGATCTGTAAGATGAAGCTCTCTGTTTACTGGTTGGTCTATGCTCCTACCCTCACCTATGGTCACAAGCTCTGGGTGTTGACTGACAGAATGAGATTGTGGATACAGGCGGCTGAAATGAGTTTCCTCTGCAGGGTAGCTGGACTCTCCCTTAGTGATAGGGTGAGAAGCTTCTGAGCTGCGGAGCCCAGACAGCAGATGCCCAAGATGGCACTAGTGTGTGTGGCTTGCTGTCTCTCGCTGTTTGTGTTTGTGATGTTTTTGTTTTTTATCGCCAGTGCCAGTTCACTGCTTATGTATGATCGCCAAACATTGTTGGATCTTTGTTTCTTTGCCAAGGATTTAGTGAAAATTGACTCTGATTGTGGTGTTCATACGACGTTTCAGGTGTTTTCCTTCCCCGGTCTGACACCTGCTCATCTCTGCCACACCCTCGCTCCACTCCCTCGACGTAAACGCTAGTGCCGCCGGGGAAAACGCAGTGGCCAACTGTTAAAGTTTAAGGCTCTTTTGGCACGATTTCCCGTGGCCTCCCTGAGGAGAAATGGAGTGGTACCTAGTCTCTTTCTGAGCCCGTGGTCGCTGGACCCTGCTGACAGCTGGCTGGTGTGTGTCGTCGGTTTCGATGATGTGGTCCACCCCTGCTCTCCCCGTCCTCACGGCATGGTGTAAATCCCTGCCATCTACGAGCCCTGCGTCGGGCTCCACAGACAGCTGCAGCTTCGGATGCACCGGACCCTGCCAGGTTTGACCTTGTTAATGCAAGATCACTGTCAAATAAAACTTTCATCTTGAGGGATTTCTTCATGTCCCGTGATCTTGATTTTCTCTGCGTGACGGAGACATGGCTGATAACTGGCGAGCCCACCGCTCTTATTGAACTGTCACCACAGGATTGCTGCTATTTTAATTCCCTGCCCCTGTCGGGTCAAAAAGGAGGAGGAAAAGCAGTAGTTTTAAAAATGATTTTAAATGCCAGCAGATCTGCCTGCAATCCTCTTTTACAAGTTTTGCATTTGAAATCGGCCGCTCTCATGTTGTCTTGTGTGTCGTCTATCGGTCACCCAAGCACAATAAGGATTTTATAAATTACTTTTCAGAATTTTTGGTTGAAATCCTGCCTAAATATGATTGTGTTCTTATTCTTGGTGATTTTAATATTCACATCTGCTGCCCAGAAGAGCCGATCTCCAGGAGTTTTTTAAATGTTATTGACTCTTTTTACTTTGCGCAGTCTGTGTCTGTTCCTACTCAAGAACTCAGGCACACACTTGACTTGGTCCTGTCTCATGGTCTGGATGTTTCTAATTTGGATATATGTGATGCTGTTTTCTTGGATCATATGCCGATCCTATTTGACGTTCCCACACACTGTCCAGTTAAACTACATGCTCCTCCTTAGCGCTGTCGCATGTTTAACTCCTCCTCTCCAGCCCTGTTCTCCTTCAGTTTTCTTGGTCTCTGCCAGGATATCAGAAGACTATAAAAGATGAGAAGAACAAATATCTCTCAGACATAATTTCTTCTAATTGTAACAATCCCAGTGTTCTGTTCAAAACCATAGATACTGTTCTCCACGCTCCCAAATCTGATGGTTTTGACGCCTCCACTGAAGTCTGTGAACGTTTCCTCCACTTCTTCACTGATAAAATTGTGTCAACCAGAGCTTGTATTTCTCAGCCTTCCTATGATCCCTCTATTCCTTTACACTACTCATCTATTTTTGATCAGTTTGAGCCGGTGTCCTTGTCTTTTCTAGAAGACACAGTTGGTCATATGAGGCCCTCTGGTTCCCCTGCAGATTCCATCCCACCTTGTTTGTTTAAGGAGGTATTTGCTATTATTAGACCAAGTGTACTTAAGATTATTAATAGCAGTCTTTCCTCTGGTATAGTATCTGAGGCTTTTAAGCATGCATTTGTACCTCCTTTACTTAAAAAAACAGGCCTTGACCCCTCTCTCTGCTTCAATTTCAGGCCTATCTCTAATCTTCCATTTATTTCTAAAATATTAGAGAAGCTTGTCAACAACCAGTTGCTACCATTTTTAGAGGACAATGGTATCACTGAGCCATTTCAGTCTCGGAAAGTTTGTTGTTTTAGTGCTCTTAGATTTGTCTGTTGCATTTGACACCGTTGATCACAGGATTTTAATCTCTCGTCTTGAGCACTGTGTGGGCATCAGGGGTGTCGCCCTCAATTGGTTTCGGTCGTATTTAACCAATAGGACTTTCTGCAAAAACATTGACAATTGTATGTCTTCCACTGCTCCTCTTCCACAAGGTGACCCCCAGGGCTCAATCCTTGGCCCTCTTTTATTTGCTCTTTACTTACTCCCCCTCGGCTCTATTTTTAGGAAACATGGCATTTTATTTCACTTCTATGCTGATGATTGCCAGATCTATTTTCCCATGGCACAAAACAACACATTCTAGCAACTTACACACTGCCTTAATGATGTTAAGGCAAGGTTTTCTCTTAACTTCCTTAGTCTAAATGAGAACAAGACTGAAGTTATGATGTTTGGACCGAGATGCTGTCCATCTCCCAGCATAGATCTTGGCTCACTGTCATTTTATCTCAGGGACTGTGTCACCAATCTGGGGTTGAAGTTGGAGTCTGATTTTAAATTTGAAAAACAGATCAGCAGTGTTGTTCAGAAAAGTTTTTATCAACTCCGCCAAATAGCAAAAGTGAAACCAATCTTAGCAAGACCTGACTTGGAGAAATTAATCCATGCTTTTATCACAGCTCGTCTTGACTACTGTAATGCACTTCATGTAGGCATTAGCCAGACCTCTCTTGCCCATCTGCAGCTTGTGCAGAACTCTGCTGCTCACCTGTTAACTTAGGCCCATAGGCAAGAGCATATTACTCCCATCCTGGCGTCCCTTCATTGGCTCTCTGTGCACTACAGAATTCATTTTAAGCTCTTGCTGTTTGTTTTTAAATGCCTGAACAACCTTGACCCACCATATCTGTCTGAGCTGCTTCAGCCTTACTGCCCACTCCGATCCCTAAGATCAGCTGATCGGTGGTTGCTGACAGTCTCTAAAACTAGGCTGAAGCTCAGAGTAGACAGAGCTTTTGCTGTTGTTGCTCCGAGGTTGTGGAACAACTTACCCTTGAGTGTCAGAGAGGCCTCGTCTCTCCTGTTTTTAAATTGCTTTTAAAAACACACTTTTATTCTTTGGCTTTTAACATGTGATCTGATCTTTTATGGCATCTTAACACATCTGCCGTGAAACTGGCATGTGTATGTTTTTATGTTTCTTTGTGTATGCTTTGTATATTTTTATTGTATTAATTAATTTGTCTTTTTGTCTTATTGTATAGCACTTTGGCTACCCCTACAGTTTTTAAAATGTGCTAAAGAAACAAAGTTGATTGACTGATTTAAGTTCAGTTATCCGGGAGAGACTCAGTGCAGAACCGCTGCTCCTCCACATCAAGAGGAGCCAGTTGACGTGGTTCGGGTGTCTGGTAAGGATATTTCTTGGATGCCTCCATAGGGAGGTGCTTTGGGCATGTCCGACTGGGAGGAGACCCCGGGGAAGACCCAGGGCATGCTGGAGAGACTATGTCTCTCGTTTGGCCTCGGAACACCTTGGAGTCCTACCAGAAGAGTTGGAAGAGTTGGCTGTGGAAAGATGTATGGACCTCCCTGCTGAAGCTGCTGCCCCAACCCAACTTTGGAACAAGTGAAAGATAATGGATGGATGGACAAAGAAAAATGATACAACAGAAATCATCAAGTGAATATTTAGTGAATTTACAACTTTAAGCTTAAAAACAGCTTTATTTTGTCTAAACACACTTGCACATCGTTTTTGAAGGAGTTCAACACATCTTGTAGAACACCCCATGTAATCTCAGACACACTAAATCATGTTGAGATCAGAGCTCTGTATGAGTCAATCACACCAGGGATCATCAGTTTTTCTTTGGACTGGAAACAGTTTTAACAACATTAGCTGTATGTTTGGGGTCCCAGAATAAATATGGGGCCAGACACCTCTCTGATGTTACTGCATGATGAAGAATCTGCTTGTATTTCTGAGCATTAAGGACACTGCAAATCCAGATCAAAGCACCAACTCTAATTGCATAAATATAGCTCAAACTGGCAAGAAACCTCCACGATGCTTTGTTGTGTCCTGCCAACACTCATTGTACTGCTGGTGAACAAAATGCCATCAGCAACTCAGAGCACTTGTTGCAATCTTTTGCATTTCCTATGTTTTTAGAGTCATTTGACCTTGTTTCCACATCAAACATCTGGCTCTCTGCCTACAACTCTTCCATGACGATCACATCTGGTCAGACTGAACAACAGCTGAATGAACTGATTCCAAATGGAAACATGCAAACGTAATGTGTCTTGTATCCATTGCACTGTTTCCTTGGCTGACCACTAAGTCTACTGTACATTCCGTTTCTTTTTGCATTTCAGCAGAGCTTCAGTATCACATCAGGAAACCTCAGTTAGCTTTAAATTATTTACCATGGAGAGTGCTGATATATTATTATTATTATTATTATTATTATTATTATTATTATTATTATTATTAATAATAATAATAATAATAACAATAATAATAATAATAATAATAATAATAACAATAATAATAATAATAATAATAATAATAATAATAATAATAACAAAACATTTTATTTGAAGGCGCCTTTCAAATCACTCAAGGTCACCGAACAAGAAATACAAAGATAAAAACAATAAAACAATAAAAGACAGATTTCAATAACATCAAACACAATCAATGGTTTAAAAAAAAAAACATAACTTGATGACATTAAACAGAAAAAGCAAGTTTGAAAAAGTGAGTTTTAAGATTAGATTTAAATGAGGACAGAGAATCAGAATTACGGATGTGCTGTGGAAGAGTTCCAGAGACGAGTGGCTTTGCGGGAGAAGGCTCTGGATCCCATAGGTGTCATGTGGGCAGGAGGTATAACAAGAGAAATGGATAAGGAGGAGCAAAGAATTCTGGCGGGTGTGTAATAGCAAAGAAGATCAGTGAGGTACAGAGGTGCCAAGTTATGGAGAACTTTGAAAGTGAGAAGGAGAATCTTGAAGTCAATGCAATATTTTATGGGTAACCAGTGTTCCTTTGAAGTAGTTCTGGTGATGATCCGAACAGCTGTGTTTTGGACTAGCTGAAGTTTAAGGATGATTTTAAGGGGAAGATCTGAGAGGAGGAAGTTATAGTAATCTAATCGAGAGGTGACTAGAGCATTGATAAGGATGGCTGTACTGGTGGGAGTAAGAAATGAACGGAGATGATTGATGTTTTGAAGATGAAAATATGCAGACCGAGTAATGTTATTGACATGAGATTCAAAAGATAAAATGCTATTGAGGATGACACCCAGACTCTTAGCTGTAGGGGAGGGAGAAACTGTGGAATCATCAACTTTAATTGTGAACCTGTTACATTTGGATAAGGTACTGTAGACTTGGTGCCAATAAGGATAAGTTCTGTTTTCTTGGAGTTCAATTTAAGAAAGTTTTGGCTAAAACATAATTTAATTTCACAGAGGCAGTCCAAAAGGAAGGGTGGCGTTGGACTTGGTGGAGAAGTAGATCTGGGTGTCATCCACATAGCAATGAAAATGAACACCATATTTTCTAAAAATGAGACCAAGTGGAAGAAGATAAATGATAAACAAGAGACGACCAAGAACAGAACCCGGTGGTACACCTGAAATAACTGGGGAGGACTGTGACTTGAAGTTTTTAAGTTGGACAAAGTGCTGACAGTCAGAGAGATAAGAATGAAACCAATTCAGAACAATGCCCGAAAAACCAATGGAACGTACTCTATCAAGAAGAATTTCAAATGCTGCACTCAGGTCAAGGAGGATGAGAAGTGATACAATCCAGAGTCGGCAGCAACCAGGAGATCACTGGTGATTTTAATCAAAGCTGTCTCGGTGCTGTAGAGAGGGCGCAAACCTGACTGAAGTTCTTCAAACAGTTTTTTATCAGAAAGATGACTGTGAACCTGGGCTGCAACTGTTTTTTCAAGTATTTTGGAAATAAATGGTAGGTTAGAAATGTTATTAGAGACTGTGTCTTGTGTTGTTTGACCTGTGACTTTAAACTATCTTCCTAAATCTTGCCATGGTTGCAGAGTTTGTCTTACTTTTCCAGTTTTAAGCCTTGCTTGTTTGTATTTTGGTCAATAAATGTTTCATCCTCTGTATGAAGATGAAAATCATTAGCACCTGTTTGGCACAATTAATTGTTCAAACATATGAATAAATTTCAACGTAAATCATGGGTTTGTGCAAGTTTATCAAGACAAACTGTTGTTTTGAAGGCAACGTGTGGCCACGAGAAATAGTGATTTCAGTTAGATTTAGTGTATTTTTCTTTTGTCTGCTACTAAAAGGTAAAAGAGAGACAATTATTTTTTCTCCTGTCTGTATCTGCACGTGTCTCATGAACCCTTTAGTAGATTTTAATGACATTTGCATAAACTATCCACTCAGTGGATCTATAACTGATTAACTTTGAGTCAAACTCATTTTAAAAAGTTACTAGAGCTAACTGACCTTAAAAACACAAAAATGGCTATGACCTGGTCAGTTTTTACAGATATGACATCAAATTTGTTGTGGTAGTAGCTGCAACTTGTTTCAATTTGTCAGTAACATTTTGGACTTAACACTGTCTGTTAGTAAAATATTTAATTACCACAGGAACTTATTTTGACGAAACGTTCAGGAAATGCTCATTGGATATTCAACTACAATTGATTAAATTTTGGAGTCAGCCAAGTTAAAAAAGGCCACAGACAACTCAACTTAGAAAGCACATACATTTTATTTTTATTTTAATTCACCCATTTTTTTTTAAATGGCTGTAATTTGGGAAATTTAGGTGCTTATTTTTGTAAATCTAGCTTATTGTACAGCATTTTAATACCTGCCTAAAATCTATGCTCAAAATAAACAAAATATGATTTTCTTATGATATTAAAATGTATTATTCTGTTCATTTGCCCCTATTTTTAAATTAGATCAAATTAATTGGTTTTATATACCATACACAGCAGATAATGAGCTTAATGAACAAAAAAAAAAAAAAAAATCAATGTGTTCTTCTTTTCTTCTTTGTTTGTTTCTGTGTCTGATATGAATTTTTAAACATGCACAATATGTTTCTAAAACAATTCTAAGTATGATATTATAATCTGTATAAGCCCGATACATTTCTAATATTTCCTTAGATTTTAGACCTTCTTTAGACCTGGCAATTAATTCAGGAAAAAAAAGACAGAATTTAACAAATAGTTTTGACACTGGTCAACTATTTGTTATGTTCTTTTTAATACATGTTTACTTTTTAAATGAAAAAAAAAAAAGTTTGAAAAACTAAAACTTTGCAAACCGAAGTAAAATAGCCCATATGTTTAAATTCAACATTGTTTTGCTGAATGTTCAAATATTGCTGTAACATTTCAGAGCAGGTGAGTAACTTCAGGTGTGACCTTGACAATTATTAGTCAGCACTATTTATCCCCAAAACATTGCTGTACTTTGCTACGTTGTCTCAAACACTAAACCTATATTTTATTTTTTTTATGTTGCATTCTTCACGTGAGGTAAAAACATAAAATAAAACTGCCCCGCCCTCGAGCCCTTACCCAGGGTACCCGTGCAGAGGCAGTTGTGAGTCCGGGGAGGTGGCTTAGTTTGGTGGCTGTCCAGAATCTGTTGCACTAGCTGCTCCACTGAGAAGCCTGAGCTGCTGTTCCCATTGCTGCAAGTCCACTTGATGCCATGAACTGCCAGGAGAGAGGAGGACACAGAGATGTCAGCCAGCTCAACAGACCACCAGCCACGCCAGCCTCCCACCCCACACACTGCCCTCGCTGTCTGTGCCTGAACGCCTCACTGGACACTTCCCTAAAAGCAGCCATGTTCAAACAGCAGAGCAGCAACAATTGCATTTCTGATTTTTTTTCCTCCAAAGAAAATGAACGACTTCTCAAATTTTGCATAACAAAATTGTAACACAGGCATTTGAGAGGTACCACTCTCAGTTTTGTAGTAAACAATGAGTTTCCCTACAGTTATTCCCCTCTAATGTCCCCTTACTATGATGTTAACCCTTGTGATGGAGTACTTAGCTCCTTCCAGCCTTTTCTCTTCTTTGATTCAGTGTTTGAGCGCAGGGCGAGCTAATGAACCCTCTGCACTCTGCACCCTTACTCTGACCTTTGACACTGTTTAGACAAGCTTGTGTTGAGGAAAACCCACCAAGTCACTGCTGCTGAATCTGCTGCTGCTCCAAGAGAGAACAGAAAGCTTCCTCCAGTCCAGTTCCCCTCCTTTCCTCCCTTAGTCACACCTCACTAGCACCTGCTAATACTTTTCATTGCTCCACTTGTCAAGCTGCCATGCCTTCTGATGAGACAGATAGTGCTTTTAGTGGCTATAAAAGGTAGTAGGAGAGACCACTGAACGCTACAGGGCTCAGGCTCTCAACCAGTGCGACAGAAAAGGTAATATTTCAGAGGAGAATCATATTTAGACTATCAAATCTGCTTTAATTCAAGTCTTCATCACCTAAGTAGTTCTTTAGGTTCAATGCGGAAGAAAAAAAAAGATATTAAAGCCCACAAAAACATTGAGAATTTGGTTAGAGCATGTCTGATTGCACTGGATGGTCCAGGTAAGAGGTTGAGCGTACTGCACATACAATTTAGAGCTACTTTAATAGAAGAAAAATAAAACCTACAGCTGTGATGTGGATTAAAAGCATCAATGTATTTTAGTAGTACAGGCTGGTCACCAGCAGGTGTCAGCAGAGTTGTTGACATAATGATCCCCCAACAACTAGGAAGGAAACATTTAAAAAGTTTGGTTAATTCAGATGTTTACCCACAGTGAGTGAGCTGAATAAAAGATGGACAGCAGCTATGACAGAAGACCTTTATCTAATGTCAGTTTAATTACTGCACAAATAATTGTTTGCGTCTGGAGATTCCACTAAATAATGCAGCTTCACTCGTCATTAACCTTTTGACAGATGCAACGCAAACGACACAAACAAGTTGACGAAAGTATTCCTAATGAAAAGACAACGAAGACTGGCATATTCAAAGTGCTTCTCAGTTTTGGTGAAAACAGAGGAAACTGCAGGACAGAGGAGCATCTTTTCTGCTGATCGAGAGAAGGTAACAGAACGGTGAGTCTAACGCAGGGGTCTGCAATATGCGGCTCAGGAGCCACATGCGGCTCTTTCGAGCTTTGACCAAAACTGAAATAAAACTGAATTTTAATGGTTGTTATAGCAACACCTAAAAGGCCAGTTTTAGCAGTTTTCCTGTAATTTATTTTGCAAATATATGAATACTAGAAACATTACAAGGAGTAAAACTTACTCACGTTCACTTTATGCTTTATTTCTTCAAAGTAGGATATGTACTTTTTCTACAATTTAAAAAATCACATAAGAATGCATAGTTTATTGTTTTAGTTTTTAGAAACTGGGCAAAAACTATAATATTTTTCCTTTTACAAGAACCTTGTCTTTTATTTTGTCAGCATGTAAAAATACCAATAAATGTTAAAAATCATTAGATATTTTTAGTTTTATAAAATCACCCCCTACTGTCCAGAAAATCGCCCTCCAACAAACTTAAAGTGGTCCATGGGCCACCAGTTGAGAATCCCAGTTGTAGCAGGTACTGTGGCTCCAGACACGTTTAATGAACAGATGTGCAGAAATGGCTGTTTTGATCGTAAAGGTTGCAGACCCCTGGTTTAATGCATCAACCTGCGTCCACCAAGAAGTGTTGTAACTATTTATCCAAAACAATCCAGTCTCCTCTCATCCCTAATCCCTCATTCCAGATTGCTACAGCTGTCCTCATCTAGACGAGTGTCACTACTGGAGGCTGTGGGATGTTGATGAACAGTTACCACTGTGTCTGCGTGTCTGTTCATCTCATTGAGCATCGGGCTCCAAAGCAGACATGACAGGAGAAGTGCCACTGGGTTTAAACCCAGCCAGGAGGAGCAGAGGCACCAAACAACAACATCATGTGATCATTCTTATGACTGCATGCTGTCATGAGCTGCAGCACGCAGCCCTAATGACAAACACAACTGATCCATACGGTAGACTAAGATGGTGGTGTCCATCTTTGATGGCCTCATCTGTCTAGTCTGGAGACCTGCCTCCTGTCTGTCTGTTAAAGCTGCTCGTGTTATCTTCCAGCAGACTGGGAGTTCTGTATGGTTGTTGCATTGGACTAAAGCAAACTAGCTGTGTTGTCTATAAAACTGCAACGTGACTGAGGCGAGATGACTCTCTCTTTCACCCTCCACCCTGCCTCTCGCCTCTCATCCAACACCACGGGGTCTTAAAGGATGATGAGGTCAGACATGGCTGTTTCACAGGGCTCATACTCAGAATGACTGTGTGAGCCTCTCTGAATGTGAAAATGATCGAGGCTATAAGTGTGATTTGTTTATAGAGACTGAACAAGCTTAACTCGTTCATAAATCCAAATTGTGTCAAATGGTTTAGTGCTGCGCAACAAATCACAACAAATAACAGGAATACAAAACAACTTTTTTTGTGCAAAAGCTACTAAGATGAATAAGCTTCAGCACCACAGTAAAAAAAAAAAAAATCAAAGATCAGTTTCTCAACTGAGCATTGATCATAAGTACAAGTGCCTTGCTACAAAGCCCACAATTCTTGACACGGAAAACAAATCAATTTGATCTCGCCTTTATATCTGAAAGCCTTCTCAAGAATTTGGAAGTTCTTAAAACATAAAAAAGGGAAACACTATGATTTTTTATTTTTATTTTAGCTCAATATGGTGAAAAAAATGTGTCTTTCTGGTAAAAACAACAAAACAACATATGATTTAGGATTAACGGTGGTTGATCCACCATGACAGCAAGCCTCGTTCATGAGGATGTAGGCTGAAACCATGCAGCAACACTAGGTGGCAATGTTGCTTCATCCATGAAGCCATGTTGACATGCTCCAGGATGAAGGGAAAAGAAAATAAAGAAGGAAGACAGAAAGCAGGAAAGGGAATTCTTACTCTTTATGTAGCCCCCTCATGTAGCCTGGCAGCTAGGAGGCATCTCACTCTCTTTGTCCCAACAACTGCTAAAGTTAATGACTAAACGCATTATTGCAAATGGTGCTTGAGTTTTACATTAAGCCACAGACGTAATGAATAAAGTAGGTCCATGATGCTCTGACGCTGTCCTGAGGTAAGACTTTATGTTAAAATGTCTTCAAACTAATGCTGTGTTGAGGGGAACAGTATTATCCAGATTCCAGCCATAGCCTGCACCACCTACTCAGTATGCAGCCAGCATGTGTACAGGCTTGTAAAGCTGCTGACACCTTCCTCTTCACCTGGCCACATCGCCAATAATTGGCCATTGGATTATCAGTCACAGCTCTGCTGGCCCCTGCCAGACACACCCATGTGACAGGCTGGCTGTTAAAGGCGTTTTTAGGAGCCCTCTGAAAAAATTTTAATGTCCCACAAAATCCCCTTTTGGATATTATCATCAACATCAGACAAAAGCCGTGCTTTTTCCAAAACATTACCTCAGACTTTGCCCAGATGTATAGTCGTAAAAACACACAGTGCACGTCGGTGAGCTTTGGTACAGCTAATAACAACAGGGAACAATCCATTCAGGAGCAAGGGAGGGAGAAAAAGACAAGAGAAAGGCTGGCAAGGGATTTCTGATGAGTCTAATATTCTTGCTCACATGCACTAACATGAATCAATATCCAGCTCACTGCCCTCCCTTCTGCCTTGACTGCTTCTACGGTCCAGACTGAGGGGAGCTGCACTCTCAGTCTGTTGCCAAAGGTCAAGGAGAAAAGCTGAACTTTGACCCATGTGAAGCAGACGGCTTCAAGAAGAGGACACTCTCACATAATATTGTAGGAATACTAGGACAAATGCACTCGACTGAGCTGCCAAGGGCACTTGGTGTTCTAGAAGTGAGCTCATATGAGTGAACATGAAACCCCCACCTGCCAAAAACACACAGAGATGACTAGCATGCATGCATGAAGGTAACATGTGCTACTGAGCATTAATAGAAGTCACTGGACTTATTGACTTTGTTTCAATACTCACACATGGGCTTGAGCTGGCCAATCAGCTCCTCCTTGGTCCACTTGGCCCATTCCTTCTTGTCTGTATTGATGGAACATAAGATAGGTCCACACGGTTTCCCACAATCCTCAATGGCTGGAACATTCAAATAGTGGACGAGCACAATATCAGGATTCTGTCAGAAAAAAAAAAAACAGAAAAAAGCATAGGGTGAGTTCAACCAGATGCTCAAATGTCTGTTGCATGGCTTCGGTGAGAACAAACCAGCAAAAAGCTGTTAGAGCAAACGGATAAAGCCGCTCAGATCCGAGTGCTTTTATGTGGAAAAAGCAAGCTGTGTTGCTAAACTTGAATCGCTGCATGAAAACCCTTACGCAGACAATAGAGACTAAAAACAGACAAGGAAATGCACAAGCCTCAAACCAAGCAGCAGAACAAATCTAGGATCAGCAATCTGCAATAATCTTACTCATTATGTGACTCTATCTCAGAATACACGTGTGATTGGATGTGTCTGCTGTAACGCATGTGTGTGCACTTGTATGTGTGTGTGTGTGTTAATTACAATGTGTGCTCATGTAACACACTTATGGCATTTTGTCAAATCCTCCCACATAGTGGGATGATGCCCTCAATTAACTCCGCTTGTGTTTACCAAGTCAAAACTCAACAATTTACTGCTCGCAAGTTGTCACAGGGTTACCTTAGCAAATTTTCTAAATTGACAGTTTATGAATAATAGGCAGTGCTTAAAGGAATGTTGTGCAGGTGTGAATAGCAATTCACTTTGATTATCAAGCACTCAAAAAATAAACTTTCCATGTTTCAGTTTTTCAATTCATTGCAGTTTATTGATATAAGTCACAACAGAAGTCGTCTCAGGGCACTGATATATATATATATATATATATATATATATATATATCTCAGTGCATCAATTTAACATTATTTATCTGAGGAGCAGACCGACTGCTTTGAATTTAACTCCATCACAGAACTGTCATCTTGAGCAAGAATGAAGGTGACAGGGGAAATGAAAAACTCCCTCATGAGGAAGAAACCTTTAGCAGAACCAGGCTCAGGACAAGCGGCCATCTGCTTCAACCAGCTGGGTTTGAGAGGAACAGATACACAATGGCAGGTCAAGAATCACATGTTAAGATAGAAATAGTACCAAATGAAAACTATTTAATTGTAACAATTCATTTAAGGACATGAGGTTAATTTGTCTTCTAGTAGTTTAAGCCTATTAGCCGACCCTAACTATAGGATTTATCAAAAAGGAAAGTCTTAATCCCAGTCTTAAAACTGGACAATGTGTCAGCCTCATGGACAGAAACTGGAAGTTGGTTCCACAAGAGAGGAGCTTGATAACTGAAACATCTTCCTCCCATTCTGCTCTTGGAAACTCTAGGAACCACAAGTAAACCTGCAGTCTGAGCGTGAAGTGCTCTGTTAGGAAAATATGGAACAATAAGATCTGTAATATAAGATGGAGAGAGGTTGTTGAGAGCTTTGTAGGTTCATAGTAAGATTTTGAATTAATTTCTGGATTTGACAGGGAGCCAGTGGAGAGAAGCTAAAACTGGAGAGATGTGATCTCTCCCAGTAACTCCAGTTCACTTTGGTCGTTTTCACACCAGATAGTCCGGTAGACTCGGTTCGGTTCGGGACCAATATTCATGACGTTTTGTTTACATTTGAGCTGGTGCGTTTGCATTCACACTGCACTGTGCAGTCCAGTCAACCTGTTGAACCAACCTATTCCCCCGCTCGCCTGTGGGGGCGCTGCACCAAGAACTACTGAAAGAAACGACACAAAAACCTCTGAAGACACGTCTTCTTCTTCTTCTGTAAATAAAAATAAAAACCAAGTGGCATCAAGTTTTAGCAGAGTTAGGAGTTATATTTTGTCATTTTTCAAAAATGGACTCAGCATGAGCAGAAGATGAGACAGAAGACCATGGAGAATATTGTTTTTCACACAAGGCAGCTGACGGCTCCATATAAGGTCAGAGAAATGTGTGTTTGTTTACCCTGCGGAGCGGGGCTCGGTCTGTTTACATTCACACTGTACTCGAACCACGCTGGAGTTCGCTTCTACCGGACCGAGACCTAGGTTTTAGCCCGGGCCAGAGTTCACCTTTTTGTTCCGTGACAAGAGTTCGATGGCGCGTTCACACCTCCCTAAACAAACCGGACTTCCTAGGAAAACGAGCTAGAGTTCGATTAAAGTGGACTAAACAGGGCTGGTGTGAATGCACCCTTAAAGTCTGTGACTTTTTGTCACATCTGGCTTCTGCAACTAAAAATGATAGGTCAATACATGAAGTCACTCTGAGTAAAACTGACCCAGGCACTGCTAAGTATAAACACATGAAGCAGATCAACACATTTTTGTTGTTGGTCTTTTCTGGAGTGTGTTCCTCCAAAGCTTTCTGCTATGTTCAGAAAAGATTTAGTTTTTTTAACCCACATGAAGCTACCGGTACACTAAATTGTCTGCACACACGCTCATCTAAACAAGATGCAAGTACAGACAAACCAGTTTGGACTTTGATCGAGAAAAATGCTGTGATGAGTGTGTGTGTGACTGCAGTTTGAAGCTTCATCAGTACTAAGTGGCAAATAAATCAAGGTGCAGCTACTGTGGGTCTGTGCTCCCTCTCAGTGTGAACCATTAATCTGAGAAGCAGCCCCTCCCCACCTTTGCTTCCCTGTTACACCAGACAGGGGCGTGGCTGTCACATGCAGATACAAATACAATATGGTTGTAAACATCCTAAATATATAAACAACTCGCTCATTTCTTGGATGTGTCTGAACTGTTGCAGCTCAGTGTTGTGTAAAGATGGTCTCAGAAAGACATGACATTTCCCACAACTACCACAAGCCAGAGCTGGACATCGCCGAGCCTTGTGCCACAGCTTTCCTTGTCCTCTGTCATTGGTACGGACACTAGGTGATGGCTGCTGCCCTGAATGGATGGAGATGGCACAGGAGGTGTGTGACGCCCCCAGATGGCACCACCAGCTGTGTCCATAACCAAGAGATGCCCTCAATCTTTACTTAAACTGAGAGCGCAGAATGTAGATGGCTTTATTCATTTATGAGCAGACAGACATTTATGTTGATGCGTAAAAATGCAGGCGGGAGGGGAACGTGCACAGATAGAATGGAACATGCTTAAAGCGTGTGAAAACACACAAGCGCAGATTGTATTCGGAGAAACTCATTAGCATAGCGTAACAGACTCTCATACGCTTAATACGCACATGGATTAGTTGAGAACAATCATTCTTGCGGTTACGCACAATTTCCTCCATTCAACACCCACATTTCCAGCTGTTTGCTACCTTTATACACAAAGCGAAACAAATATCTGGCACACACACCTGAGATGTGACTGACCATGCAGTCTTATGACTCACCTAAACACAACATTTGACACTGTTGCCTTTTACTATTTGAAATCTGCTTTCTTCAGGAAACAGACAAAAAGCCAGAGGCATATACTGGAACTTTCCGAATCCTTCCCCCACTTCTGTTTTACTTCTTCCTCTCCTCTGACTTTACAACATTTTTAACTGTTCTTTCCCAACTCCAGCCTATACCTCTACTCTGCGAGGAAAACAACACAATGAAAATGTAAAGCGCCACATAAATCTATCAAGATGGTAATTTAATTTAATTTCCTGCTGGCTGCTTTCTTTTTCTACAGTGTAATATCAGGAGTTTGTTCTCCAAGAGGAGAGGGAAAAGGCTGAGAGGGGGAGAACTTTTTGCCTGGATAATCTTTTTCCAGAGAAAATGAGATCTCATTAACTTATTGATTAATTGTGTAATGTAGTCTTTCAATAGTTTTTTTTTTCCTTCTCTCATTTCCCATGCGGGTCTCAGGGCAGCTTTCCAACCTCACTTCCTCAGTGCTAGGGAGGAGTGCAATACAACTGCAGAAACCTGTGGTACAAAAGATTTCAAGCTGGGTTTCAGGCAAGATTTCAGGTTCCGGTGATTGTTGAATTTCCATTCACCGTCCAAACCTGTCAAAGAGGCAGCAGCTTGGTGACAGACAGTGACCTTAAAATTTTTCATTGCAAAGTGTGAAATCAATTATAAAAATGTTATCCTGTATTTTAACAAATGGTGCCGTTCGAAGGAGTTTTCTCCAGTAGGGTTCCAGACTAATTTATATGCAACTCCAAAAAGTGGGATGAAACTCCATACAAGTGAAGCAATCGATTGAGTCTACCGAAAACAACATGGAAGCTCGAGCCTAAGTTCAGCTGGCCATAGTCTGTGCAGGTAAACAAATATTGCAGAATCTGACACACATTGAACTGAAAAAGACATTAGCTATGTTTACACGTGCAAAATTATTTGATCGGATTGAAATGTATTCGGATAAAATAATCCAAATGTATTGTTTACATGGGCACAATCCGTTCACAACAAGTGTTTACATGCAGCTGGCTTTTATTCAGAATAGAAGTACTGACATGTGCAGAGTGGTAAAATCTCCTTAAAAAAACACAGAAGAAGAAGTTCTACTTCTGTGATGAATGTAAACAAAGCTGAGCACCCAAAATGGACCCGCGACAGGTTTTAATGATGGTGGAGACGTTACTGCACTCCCTGACTGAGCTACAGGTGATACTGATCATTTTGAGCTCTTTCTAAGTTTCTAGTAGAAATGTTGTGTCGCTCACCGACCAGTTTTGCTTCCCCGACACATTAGCATCTAGCCAGGTGGAAATACTTGACGTTGACACAGGTCACACATGCGCAGTCAGGTCAGTTTTCCACGATCTGAATAAAATGATCAGATTAAGTGTTTACAAGCACACTGTTCAGATTATGAATCGGCATAAACCACCCCTCTCATTCAGATTACAAATTCATTCGGATTGAGCTGAATCAACAAAGAATAATCCGAATGGGGAGTTTACGTGACGCATCTTTATTCCGAATGACCGTTTAATCCGATTACTTACGTATGTCCATGTAAACATAGCTAATGAGATGGTAATACAAATGTGAATCTGCTGTTAAACACCAAAGAAAAGGTAAAAAAAAACAAGTAAAAAAACAAGTAAAATATTTAAATGTCATTGATTGCTCCATGAAAATGAGCTCAATGTTCAAACAAGCATGGTTTTTACAAAATTTCTAGAC